GCCCGTGGTAGAGCCAGGGGTGGGCCAGGAACCCTCCCTCCCTCCCTCCTTCACCTGAAAGGAACCCGGAATCAGGCTGGTTTGGCTCCTTCAAGCTAAATCTGGGGCGGGGCATGTTGACCCCTCTAGCTGGTTTTACTCTCGAGGGACTCCCCGTGGCAGCAGTGTCAGGGCTGGGGCAGGAGGGGTGGCAGGGTGTCTGGGAGGCTTGGGGCAGAGGTGTTGAAACCTCTGAAAGCTTCGCCACTTCCTCCCGCTCGGATGCAATTCCCCTTTGATGCTGTTCTCTTAACAGGCCTGTATCTGGCCTGCTTCCCTGCCTGTGCCCGCCCCCTTCCTCCATCTGGAGCGCCCCCTCCCCTGCGGCCCCTCTCGGCCTCCCTCCCTCTCCCTCTTCCAGGGCACATTCCTGATCCCCCGACAGACCTTCGAGTCCACATAGCACCATAAAGGCCTTTTGAGACACTTATCACAGGCCCACCCTCCAGGACACTCATCCGGAAGGTCCCTTGGAGTTTGTTTTGCAGCTGGGAGAACCAAAGAGGAATAAGTGGGTTAATCCCTGGTGAGGAAAGCACCTCAAAAATGTCCCTGGTCTCCTGTCTCTTGCAAGTTAGGCTGAGAGATGCACTTATCCCTCCCGGCCCCGGTTCCTACGCCGTGTCACCAACCTGCCTTTCCGTCCTGTCCTCACTCAGTCAAGGCTCGTTGTGAACCCGCTGTATAGCAGGCGCTGTGCTTGGTGCTGGGGACACACACGATGGTAAAGAAAGCAGACACGCTCCTGTCGCCACGGAGTTTACTGTCCCGGTGTCACATCCAGGCCATCTTCCCCACTAGGGTTCCCTTTTGTTTCCCCCATTTATCTCTGCACCTTTGCTCCATGCTCCCCTCATGTGAAATGCCCACCCCTCCTCTTGGTATGAGTCCTCCCACCTGCCCGGCCCAGCTCACTGGCTGCAGCCTCCTTGTGGCCTCCAAGGTGGCCAACCTCTCCCCACACCCAGGCCCTGCAGCCCTTTACCTCACCTGCACATTCCCCTGTGAGGCCAGGCCTTGTTTCTCCATGCTCACTTCCTGCGAACTCCCCCAAGGGCAAGGGTGGCATCTGGCCTCTGCCCGCCCCATAGCCCCTGGCACAGTGCTGGGCACATGGCAGGGGCTCCCTGATACATTTGCTGCTCTGTTCCCCGTCCCCAGCTAGGCAGGCTGTGCCAGCCCAGAGCTAGTCCAGAACCCTCTGCTCCTGTTCTTGTAACCTGTTCCCTAGAAGAGACAGGGAAACTTGGGTTCTTCCAGAGAAAAGTTCTGAGTCTGTGGCAAAACAAGGGAAACTCAAAACCCACTCAGGGAGTTTCCCCAGCAGTGGGTGCTGGGGCGGCCTCACTGTTAATAAAGCTGCTAATCATTGTCGTAACCATTTACTGTTGTCCAACAGAGAAGAGCCCCTGTGGGAGGCAGAGTGTCCCCAAGACGGGGGGCAGAAGCCGCTAGGCAGAGGGCATGGGGGGCAGAGAGGATGCAGAGACTTCCATCCAGGAGGGGCTGCATCAGCAGACATGCCCCCTCTGCGTCCTCCAGGACACAGGCCCTCCCCGAGCACCTCTGGGCTTTTGTGTTTCCTTTCTGTCTCCAGGCCAGAGCTTCCCCTCCCAGCCAGGGTGGCTGAGGGCACCAGCACCCTTTCCCCAGCTGGGCCTGTTCTCTTCTGACTCAGCAGGAGGGGGGCTGCCGGGCACTCCTCTGTGGGAGGTACAGGTTGCTCCCTCATCTGTAGGAAGCTGGCGCCAAAGATGTGCACAGACAGGAAGATGCCACTCCCCTCCCCTCTGCTCCACTGCATGTGCAAATGGAAACCTGCCCCGGGGATAGAAGGAACGGCCAGCAGGACAGGCTGGGGGCAGAAAACCCTCCTGGGCTGTGGCTTGAGGAGTGGGTGGGGTTAGGGGGTCTCTGGCAGGCGATGTGACCTTAAGAGAAGCAGACAAATTGTCCTCCACTAAGGGAGGACCCCATCTTTCTCAGACCTACAGTCTTGGTGGGGCCTCCTGAGTCCCCCTACAGGAAATGAAACTGAGGCCCAGAGAGGGTCTGCGAGCTTCCTGAGGTCACACAGCAAGGACACGACAGAGCATCCCACCCACAGGGTGGTTCTAACATGGACAAGAGGACTCCCCCAACCAGGAACTGAAGCAGCCCAGCCTGGGGAAGTGGCCCTGGGGGAGGAGGAAGAGCACGTGGCCTCCTCCTATGATCTAGTCCAGCGTCATGGTTTCCTTTCACAGGTGAGCCATGAGGGCTGATGAGGTTATAGTTTGAGCGCTGTTCCGGGTTTTAACAAACAGTGCCTGATTTTAACCTACCCTAAAAAGCTGAAGTAATCAAAACAGCATGGTACTGCACAAAAACACATAGATCAATAGAACAGAATAGAGAGCCCAGAAATAAGCCCACACTTATATGGGCAATTAATCTGCAACAAAGGAGGTAAGAATACACAATGAGGAAAAGACAGCCTCTTCAAAAAAGTGGTGTTGGGAAAGCTGAATGACTACGTGCAAAAAAAGTCAAACTGGACTACTTTCTCACATCCTATACAAAAATAAGCTCAAAATGGATTAAAGACTTAAATGTAAGACTTAAAACCATAAAACTCCTAGAAGAGAACATAGGCTCAGTTCATGCTCTCATGAACTGAGAAATAACCAGTATTGGCATATAACCTGTACTTTTTATCTGTGTGCATAGATTACATTTTTAATGTACAGTTTTATAAAATATACCATATATACTGTTTAAAAAAAATAAAAAAGAGAACATAGGTAGTACACTCTTTGATGCTGGTCTCAGTAATATTTTTTTTGGATAGGTCTTCTCAGGCAAGGGTAACAAAATCAGAAATAAACAAGTGGAACTACATCAAACTGAAAAGCCTTGGCACAGCAAAGGAAACTATCAATAAAACAAAAAGGCAGTCAACTGAATGGGAGATTATATTTGCAAATGACATATCTGATAAGGGGTTAACACCCAAAATATACAAAGAACTCATACAACTCAACATCAAAAAAACGAACAAACAAACAAAAACCAACCTGATTAAAAAATGGGTAGAGGAACTGAATGGACATTTTTCCAAAGGAGACATACAAATGGCCAACCAGCACATGAAAACAATGCTCAGCATCACTAATCATCAGGGAAATACAAATCAAAACCACATGAGCTATCACCTCACAGCTCAGAACGGTTATAATCAATGAGACAACAAGTAACAAGTATCGGTGAGGGTGAGAAGGAAAGGGAAGACTTGTGCACTGTTGGTGGGAACGTAAGTTGGTGCAGCTACTGTGGAAAACATTATGGAGGTTCTTCAAATAATTAAAAATAAAACTACCATGGAATCCAACAATTCTACTCCTGGGTATTTATCTAAAGAAAACAAAAACACTAATTTGAAAAGATATATGCACCCCTATGCTTATTGCAGCATTATTCATAACAGCCAAGATATGGAAGCAACCTAAGTGCCCATCAATAGGTGAATGGATAAAGAAGATGTGGTACATATATACATATAAAAAAGAATGAAATAAAAAAGAATGAAATCTTGCCATTTGTGACAACATGGATGGACCTAGAAGGTATTATACCAAGTGAAATAAGTCAGATAGCGAAAGACAAATACCGTATGATTTCACTCACATGTGGAAGCCAAAAAACAAATGAACAAACAGAGTAAAACAGAAACAGGCTCATAGACACAGAGAACAAACAGGTGATTGCTAGAGGGGAGAGGGGCAGGGGGATGAGTGAAATAGGTGAGGGAGAATAAGAGGTACGAACTTCCAGTTTGCAAAATAAATGAGTCACTGGGATGAAATGTACAGCATAGGGAATATAGTCAATAATATTGTGATACCTTTGGTGGTTTTGTAATGTATAGAAATACTGAAACGCTATGTTGTACTATTAGAACTAACATAGTGTTATAGGTCAATTATACTTCAATTAGAAACAAAAACAAAACAAAACAAAAACAACAGCACCTGCTGTTGTTTTCATCCCTGGAAATGAAATGGTAATAATGGCTCAGTGATTAACACAGAGCTGACTGTGAGAGGCTCAGATGCACCAGACACCCTGTTGCAGGGGTGGGTGGGTGTCATTCTGAGCTGCCTCTGGTTGCTCAGGGACAGGGTGGAGTCAGGCCTAGACCCCACGTGTCAGAATCAAAGTCCAGGGTGGCCCTGGTGAGATGCAGCCTGTGGAGGTGCGCATGGGACTCTCCTTCTAGCTAAGGGACTCCCATAATCTGGTTCGGGGGGAGCCCTGAGCAGACCGTTGGCCATTTTCTCTGGTGGCCAGGAGACTGACCTGATGCAGGGATGCTGTGGCCCATGGGGTTCGTGGAAATTCTGCTCAGGGCCTGGCTGGGACTGGACCCTGACCACATGCCCAATGCAGACTTGGCTCTTCTAGGAGCCAGAAGGGAACTTGGCTTCCCAATCTCTACAGATTGGGACTACATGGTGATTCAAACCTGCTGGGCTCTGGCCTTCTGGGGTCCAGGGTCCAGCTTAGGGAAGGACCCACAACCAAGTCTGTCTGGGCCTCAGAACTTTCTCAGAATGAGCCGGAGCTCCCCCTGCAGAGAGACGCCGTGTGCCCGTGCAACCTGCCGACCGCCTGAAGAGGCCTTCCTGGCACCCTAAACCTCCTCCGGGCCCAGGTTAAGCAGCCCCTCTTGGCCCCTGCCTGGCTGTCCCCCAGCCCAGGGCACCGTGAATGAAGGAGGCTCGCCAGCCTCAGAGCAGGGGTGCACGCAGCTTAGGAGGGAGGCTTTTTGGTTCTGCTAATTGAGGAACCAAGAAATGACCCCTGTGAAAGGAGAAGTGTGTCATGGCCCCGGGACACACATAACCCACCTCTGTCCCCAGCTGAGTGTCTATTCTCTGGAAAGCCGCAAATATTCCAAGACTGGACTTCTGCCGAATCACCTCAAATGCATCGAACTCCATGGGTCTAGGGAAGGATGTGGGGGGAGGTGACAGGAGGCGGGGCAAGATCCCCAAAGAGGTTAAATAGGTCACCTCCGCGCTTGTGCTCATCCTGGTCTCCCCTGAGCAAAGAGACCCACACACAGAGACCTTCTCCTGGGCTCCCGGCACCATGACCTCCCTGAAGATGCTGCTCCTGGCTGCGCTCCTCCTGGGGGCTTCCCTGCAGGACACCCATGCAGGTGAGAGCAGATCAGAGGCAGCAGGAGGAAGGGACACTGGGCAAGGAGGAGTGGGGGCCCTGAGACTACAGCAGCTGGCCACACACATTATTCCTACACCCCACTTATTCCTACAAAGATGCGAGAGGCCGGCAGCAATAGGATTATTTTTTTTTTTTTGGCGTTACGCGGGCCTCTCACTGTTGTGGCCTCTCCCGTCGCGAAGCACAGGCTCCGGACGCGCAGGCTCAGCGGCCATGGCTCACGGGCCCGGCCGCTCCGCGGCATGTGGGATCTTCCCTGACTGCGGCACGAACCCGCATCCCCTGCATCGACAGGCGGACTCTCAACCACCGCGCCACCAGGGAAGCCCCAGCAATAGGACTTTGAGGGAGGCATTCAAAGGAAAATGATGGAGATGAGGATGTGGATGCCCCAGGACTTGGGGCTCAGCTTCTGAGGAACAAAGTACTTGCATATCTCACACTGCAAATGTTGTGAGGCAGTGACTGTGGTTGTGTTTTGACAGTGGAAAAGGAAGAATTCTCACAAGTATTTGTTAGAGTCTATTTTAGTAATGGGTCTTATATACAATGAGAGGATCAGCATAAAGGCAGGAGAATTCGTTCCCAGAGCAGGTGAAAAAAGAGATTTTTATACTCAGTTGGGAAAGGAAGAGTGAGATAAGATTGCTACTTTACTTTAGAAATAAATCTGGTTAGCACCCTGTGTGGTGACATGGTGGCACAGCTGCAGTCTTCGGGGTTATCTTAATGGGGTGATCTTCATAGTCGGCTGCTCGTTCACTCTCACTTCATAAAACGCTGGGCCTGGTCAGCTCCGTGTTAGTCAAACCAAGTTCCACCCCCGAAGTGGTCAGAGGACAGTCAGAGGCTTCCTAGAAAACACTCTGTCACGGCCTTAATTGTGGTCACAGATTACCAACTTGCCAGTTAGCAAGTGTTGGATATTTTTTCTTGTGCAAAGATGAGGACACTGAGTCCCAGGGAAGTGTGTTCACAACGCGGACCCCCACTTTCTCATCTGTAGAATGGGGTAGTGACAGCATCTGTCTCCAGGTGTGCTTGAGGGCTGAAGGGGCAGCGGTAGCAGAGGCTCCGCCCAGAGCCTGGCCCAGAGTCAACATTTGGTGATTCGGGGCTGGTCTGAGTGTGGGCACACACGGATGCACACACATGCAGACACACACATATATGCACAGACTCCCCAAACACATGCAGATACACACATGCACACACACAAATATGCACACATACGGACACACACAGGCACACACACAGACATGCATACACAAACCCTCCCAAACATACACGAACATGTGAACAGACAGACACACAAACTCAAAGGGCCCCCCAAAGCACACACAGGACCTCATGCACACAATCGTGCATGCACTGACACACACAGACACACACAGACACATGTGCAGACCCCTCACATACACCCTACACAGAAATACAATTACAGACCCCTCCCAACCACACAGACACACACATGCAGAAATACACACACACACGGATCCACCCCGATACCACAGACACACACAGGCACACCAACACACATGCAGATATGCACACACAGACTCGGCTCCAGACACACACGCACACACACACACACACGTGCAGACCCTCACAGAGCCTCCGCCACAACCACAGCCATAGCCATGCACACGCCCTCCCCACGCAGACAGCCGCAGACACACCTGCTGCTGCTTTGTTTCCCCCGCAGCTCGAGGAACCAGTGTGGGCCGGGAGTGCTGCCTGGAGTACTTCAAAGGAGCCATTCCTTTCAGGAAGCTGGTGAGGTGGTTCCGGACCCCAGGGGACTGTCCCAGGGATGCCATCGTGTGAGTCTGCCTGTCCCCACCCTGCCCCTGTCCTGGGAGCTGAGTGTGGGAGAAGGCAGAGCCTGGAGCTCCCAGAAGGGCCATTGGGGAGCGGAGAGGAGAGAGCAGGGCCTTCGTCCCTTGACCCCCTGGCCCCGTTCCTCAGGGCAGGCCCCATACCCCACACTGCGAGCCCCCAAAGGGCCCCAGGCTGTGAGGTCTAAGCTCTTCATTGATTTATGGGGAAACTGAGGCACTGAGAGAGATGGGACAGCCCCATATCACATGGGCGGTCAGTGGCCCATGTGGTCACTTCGCAGGCCCTGGGCTTGAGCCCTGAGCACTGGGCCCCTCCCGGGCACCCCTCGTTCCCAGGCCTAGGTGGGTACAGGCGGTCTGAGGATGGGGGGGCAAAGTCGTGCGGCCCCGGCTCCCTGGGAGGGCCAGGCCTGGCAGGGACCCTGGGAGGGTCAGGAATCACCGAGGACAGAGCCAGGTGTCTCAGAGCTGCCGCTGATGCCCTGGGTGACTTCAGACAAGTTCCTGCCCCTCTTGCGGGTTCAGGGCCCTCATCAGTGCAGGGCGAGGCTGGTCCCGGGGCTCTGGAAGGCCTTCCTGCCCTGAGCGCCTGCGCGGTTTTCTCCCTCTGTGTAGGCTGGTGACTCTCCGCGGCAGATCCATCTGTTCAGACCCCAAGGAAGTGTGGGTGAAGAAGGCGGTCAAGCACTTGCAAAACACCACGAAGCGATTTGATCTGGCCACCCAGGGGGCCTGACTTCTCCCTGGCCCATCTGGAGTCTTCCCGCCTCCACGTTCACTACCCCAACCCCGAGCTCCCTGGGTCCAGTGGAGGCCTTACGAGGACAAAGAGGCCCCTGACCCCTTCTCTGATTAAAGTTTTTCTCCCCCAGTCTGGGTCAGCATGTTCTGTCCACTCTGGCCTGTCGCCCTGGAAGGGCCCGCATAGAACATCTAGTCTCACCCTGTCCAGGTCAGAGAGGGAAAATGAGGCTTCGAGTGTGCAGACCGCCTTAAAGAGGGGAGGCCCGGGCAGGGGTAGGGCTGAGGGGGGTCTGTGGGGCGAGCAGGGCAGGGGTGACGAGAGGCCAGCAGGTTCTCCTCTCTGCTGCACGCAGGCAGGAGGGGGCCTGGGAAGGGCCGTCTGGATTCTCTCCCATCTCGTCTGCCCGCGGAGCCCTCCCAGGCCTGCCCCATTCTCCTCTGTGACACCCCAGCTGATGCGGAGCTGAGGACACGCTTCGCCTTACGCACTGGATCCAATTCCACAAATGGCTCTAGAATTCTTCTGCAGGCCAGGGTTCTGTAAAGTGCTGGGCAGCTCCCTGGCCCGGGGGCTCCCGCAGCCCCTTCCCCATCTCGCCCACCTCCCAGCCCCCACCCACTCCCGAGCCCAGCCAGCCCCGCCCGGACAGTCTTTGCAAGACCAGCTCCACCTGCGCCCAGCTCCCTCTCCCGGCTCCAACCCCAGGCCGGCTCCCAGGGCCAAGCTGCTTCACCTCGCCCCGAGCCTCACCCCAGAGCCCGCTCATCCCTGCTGCCCCCAGCCCTCGCCTCCCGCCCCAGCCTGGCCCCGTGGTTCCTGCCGACCTGAAGTGTGAGCCCCGCCCTACCAGGTGACATCTCACCCAGCCTCAGCCCAAGCCAGCCTCCAGGAAGCTGTCCCTGAGAACAGCTACCCCCGATTCTCTCTCTTGCTCTGATTCCTCCCGCTTTCAGGGACTCTGGGGCAGCCCGAGGGGGTTGTTCTCCCGTCGACTCCTGTGTGGGTCTGTAGTCCTGACTCCTCCGTTAGGCTGGGAGCTCAGTGAGTCTCACTGGGGACCCCATAGTGCTCAGAAGGATGTGGACCAGGACCCATCCCCAGACCCCTCTGTCGAGGCGCAGCTCAGGACTGGAGCCGTGGGGGGCTGGGGGAAGTTAGGGTCTTCGGATTCTAGTTCTGCCTCACCCTCCTGACCAGCTGTAGGCTGTGGCTTCTCTCTCTGGGACTAAGTCTGGGAGCAGGCTCAATGGGTCCTTCTCTCCTAGGATTCTGTGACCTGTGTTGTTTGGCGGGGCTGCAATTGAGTTATTTTCAGGTAAAGCTTATGCCTTCTGCTGCCCCCCTGTGGCCAGTTGTCTTATTGCAGGGCAGATGTCGGAGCCAAGCCCACTTTCGAAGAGGGACAAGAAGAAAACAGCAACAGTACTACTACTACTACTAATAAGGCTGATGGTGGTGATGAACTGTGAACTTCTCTGTGACCCCAGGGTCTCCTCATCCACAGGTGGGCCCTTTCCCTGCCCTGGTCCCAAGGAGTATCCCTTGAACAGCTGCCTTGGATCCAGAGTCCTTGGGGCAGGCTAGTCTGAATTCTTTGTGGAAAAATGTCATCTGGATACATGGGGTGAGGGGTGAGAAAAAGGTGATCTCAGAATATGGGGAGGCAAGGAGGAGCCCCTGGGACAGCAAAGGAGAACAAGGGCTGGGGCCCAGATCCCTCGCCCTGCCAGAAAGACACTCAGAGAACATGCATGTAATCCAGTGCATTGAAAACTTGCCTTAAAAGAATCAAAACCTTCTTTTCCTAGTGAAATATTCCTCAGAGGCCCATATTGTGAACTCGGATAAGTGGAGGACGATGAGGAGGTAAGGGGTTACCCGGGGGGAGGCCCTGAGAGTGACCGAGCAGGGAGTTGGCTTAAAGGTCCCTCAGTGGGGGAGAGGTGGAGCTAGAACTGGCAACAAAATGCAGGATTCAGAATTCAAGTGTCTACTAGCGGAGTCAGGGTGCAATGTGGGTGGGGCAAGATGCAGGAGATGGGACCAGCCACCATGTTCCCCTGGGAAGAAGCCATTTTAAGGACTCGTGACTGGGAGACTCCCCATGACAGGCTAGTAGGGAGATAGGAAGAAAGAGGACAGGGCAGGAACCAGAGAACACAGAACGGTAGGGAGGGCCGCTGGTCTCTCATTGTTCCTTCCACCTAAAAAGAGCTTCGCCTCCTCCACATCTGAAATCCAGTCCCCCTTCAGAGCTCAGCTCAAATGCTGCCTCCTTCAAGAAGCCCTCCCTGGTCTCCTTGGTTGCAGTTGATGCCCCACTCTGTGTCCTCCATCAGCTCCCTGCTCTCACCTCAGCTTTACCACATTGTCCCCGGTAAATGTAGTTACTTGCATGTTTGACTCAATGATGAGCTCCTTGGGGCAGGTATTTGAATCAGGCAACTCGGTACTTACTGACTCATTTATAAGGGGGGAAAAGTGCTTTGTGCATAGTGGAAATTTGACATATATATTTTCATCAACAAGCCCCTGGGTGAATCCCATGACGGGCACGTCAAGAAAGAAGCTCCCAGAGGAGCGGTGCCCTGATAACATAACTGGGCTTCAAGCCCGGCGTTGAAGTGGAATTTTGAATTGCGCTGCTCTTTGGTTTCCCACCAGAGGGCGCTCCAGCTCCCAATAAAGATTGAGCCTGATTGATGTCCCTGACCACCAGGGCCCTGGCCTGTCCCCAGGGTTGTCCCCAGGGGCTGGGGTCACCTACATCCGACTGTAGCTGCTCAGGGCCTAGGGTCAGAGTGTCTGCGGTTGGCCAGCCCTTCTCCTAAGGGAGCAGAGGCAAGGAAACCACCAACGACGCTGCCAGGGGTTAGTGAGATGAGGAGGAAGAAGGAAAACCACTGCTGGGAATTGCAGGGCCACTAATTCCAGATGCAACGTGGGTAGCGCTGAGAGCAGTGCGCCAGGAGTGTTCTCACCGTGTCTTCTTAGATTCTGTATTTGCCTATTTGGCATCCATTCATCACAAGTTACACCTCCCCTGCGATCCAGCTTTCGAAGGCATGCAAAAATCATATTGCAAAGTCTCCAACCAATCCTGAATCCCCCAACCACTTCCTTTATATAACTCACTCCCCAAATGAATATTTCCCCAAATCACCCAGGGCTGGGTACCAGACAATGAGGGACAGCGCCCACGCCCCGAAGCCCGCTGGAGTGACTCCCACAGGCCAGTCCTCAGTTGCTGACCCTGCCCTGCCGTGCTTTTTCTACAGAAACCCAATAAGGGTCGTGGCCTCGGCTTTCCCCTTGCGTCTCCTTCTGCCCTGCGTGGTGTGGCATGGCCCCTTCTCTTGGGAAATGTAAGTAATAAATTCTTCTTTAGTGGCATTCAGTCACCTACGTACATTTAAATCCCATGGGTACATTTTATTTATTTATTTATGTTGACATACAGTTGATTTACAATGTTGAGTTAATTTCTGCTGTACAGCAAAGTGACTCAGTTATACATATACATACATTCTTTTTTATATTCTTTTATATTATGGTTTATCCCAGGACATTGAATATAGTTCCCTGTGCTATACAGCAGGACCTTGTTGTCCATCCATACTTTATGTAATAGTTTGCATCTACTAACCCCAAACTCGCAATCCATCCCTCCCCCATGCCCCCTCTCCCTTGACAACCACAAGTCTGCTCTCTATGCCTGTTTCTGCTTCGTAGATAGGTTCTTTTTTTTTTTTTTTTCGGTACACGGGCCTCTCACTGCTGTGGCCTCTCCCGTTGCGGAGCACAGGCTCCGGACGCGCAGGCTCAGCGGCCATGGCTCACGGGCCCAGCCACTCCGCGGCACGTGGGATCTTCCCGGACCGGGGCACGAACCCGTGTCCCCTGCATTGGCAGGCGGACTCTCAACCACTGCGCCACCAGGGAAGCCCAGATAGGTTCATTTTTGTCATATTTTAGATGCCACATATAAGTGACATCATGTGGTATTTGTCTGGCTTACTTCACTTAGTATGATAATCTCTAGTTGCATCCATGTTGCTGCAAATGATAATTTCTAGTTGCATCCATGTTGCTGCAAATGGCCTTATTGCATTCTTTTTTAAAAAAATTAATTAATTTATTTAATTTTGGCTGTGTTGGGTCTTTGTTGCGCACACGGGCTTTGTCTAGTTGCGGCAAGCAGGGGCTACTCTTCGTTGCGGTGTGCGGGCTCCTCATTGCGGTGGCTTCTCTTGTTGGGGAGCACAGGCTCTAGGTGCACGGGCTCCAATAGATGTGGCACGCAGGCTCAGTAGTTGTGGCTCGTGGGCTCTAGAGCGCAGGCTCAGTAGTTGTGATGCACGGGCTTAGTTGTTCCGTGGCATGTGGGATCTTCCCAGACCAGGACTCGAACCCGTGTCCCCTGCAGTGGCAGGCGGATTCTTAACCACAGTGCCACCAGGGAAACCCCTTATTTCATTCTTTTTTGTGGCTGAGTAATATTCCATTGTATATATGTACCACATCTTCTTTACCCATTCATCTGTCGATGGACATTTAGGTTGTTTCCATGTCTTAGCTATTGTAAATAGTGCTGCTATGAATATAGGGGTGCATGTACCTTTCTGAATTATAGTTTTTTCCAGATACATGCCCACGAGTAGGATTGCTGGATCATATGGTAATTCTATCTTCAGTTTTCTGAGGAGCCTTCATACTGTTTTCCATAGTGGGTGCACCATGGGTACATTTTAACAGAAGAGGGTCAGGGACCTGTTCTGTCTCGGCTTTGCCACTGACTGACTGTGGGTTTTTTTTTTTTTTTTCGCGGTACGCGGGCCTCTCACTGTTGTGGCCTCTCCCGTTGCGGAGCACAGGCTCCGGACGCGCAGGCTCAGTGGCCATGGCTCACGGGCCCAGCCGCTCCGCGGCATATGGGATCTTCCCGGACCGGGGCTCGAACCCGTGTCCCCTGCATCGGCAGGCGGACTCTCAACCACAGCGCCACCAGGGAAGCCCTGGCTGTGGGTTTTTGACACGATCGCTTCACCTTCCTGGGCCTGTTTCTCCATGGAATGATGAAATCGAACCCTTCTCTAACCTGCTTTAGGGTGTAGCCA